CACTCTTGAGTATCATCCATAGCCTCATGAAAGTTCTGGCGGGTAAACTATTAACTCGGGAATCAAGGAAAGATGTTCACCCTTCAAGGTTTCGAATTCAGCTTTCATGCGCCAACTATCTTCCAATGTTTGAATTACTTTTGCATAGACTAAACTACAAAGCAGTGAAAATCATTAATAGGCAATTGTTCGATGGACTGAATTGCACAAAACGCACGATCGCACCAGCTCAGAAGGCGCGGCTGAGGTCAGGATAGTGAGGAGGAATGAAGTTGCTGGTTAGGAGTTCAGGACGATAAACTGTGACAGTAATTGGGGCTGTGGGTGATGGATGCCCCAATGCGGCTCTGGAAGCAGGACTGGGGGCAGGATATACGAGGGGAAGAAGGGTGCTAGGCAGGAGTTCGAAGCAAAAACTGCAGATAGCAGTAAGGAGGAAAATAAACCAATATGGCACCACAAAGAAAGGTAAATTAAAACATCTGAATTTGTGAAAAAAGGGAAAAAAGCATAATCAAAGAATTGGAGCCTGTAAGCAAAAGCAAACAAAAACTGAGCTTATGCGAGTAGGATTTGTATTACAAAAACCTCTCTTCATTAAGCATTCCCCGCATTTATGAGGTTTATGCTCAGGTGAAGCTAGGGGCAAATAAGTTGGACAGAATTTACTGAAGCTTATGCTTAGAAGAAGCATGATAAGTTCGACTGGATAACTTTATGCTTAGGTGAAGCTGAGGGCAAACAATTCCAGCTAGATTATACAAGAACTGCAAACAATTCCACATTGTTGCCTCTCGCAGGCTGCAACTGTGCACAATAGTTATACCATTGCCCCTTCAAAATCTCACAGGAGCAAAGGCTGACTTCATCCCCAAGCATCTATTCGATCCTGTTTTTGCCCACTTCATGCAGCTTATTCGGTTTGAGCTTTACCTAAGCATCAGTTTCATAAATAGGAAAGTGTGATGACAGATTTTTATGGAACTGCTTTACCTAAGCATCAGTATCAGAAAAAGGAATAATTGGCCAACACACGGCCTGCCCGTGCGAAGATGCGTTTTTTGCATGGTTCCCCGCAGTTTTGTTGCTACCGGCACC